TTACATTAGGCTGGGCCAATGCTTATTTTAATAAATAGCATGGTATTTCCTGATTCTGCAGATAATTCTAAGAGAGAGTATAGAAGAAACCATAGCTCGGAAATAAGTTTCGAGCCAGCGCATTATTAAATGAAAAAATTACCTTTTCACAATATTAGTTTTTTTTAACGTTTTCTTAAAACTTTTACATATAAAATGTCTGTATTTAAGCAAATCGTTACCTACAGGTGAAAATGTGCCATGTCCATTTTTTGAAGTTGTTCAGGGAGACGAAAAATCGATATAGGTTCGCATTATCTGACATTCTGCATCAAAAACTAAATTTTTAATAAAGTGGACTTGGCACATTTTCACCTTTAGGTAGAGAAATACATCTGTTTTGTTAATTTTTAACTTAAAAGATTAACAAACATTAAAAAGAAAGGTTTTTTGTATTTTAAGAACAAACACTTGATATGAAGGCGTCTAGGACTTACCATTGGTTTTTGCCAACTTTTTTACTAACAGTACCTCTTCCATACAAAAATTACTTTTTCTCAACAAAAAAAGATAAAAAGCGATGGTAAATCTTTTCTAATTGCACTTTATTTCCATCCAATCCATCTAAAAAGGCTTAAATTTTTACAAAAGTTTCCTAATTTTTTTCTAAATATTTCACAAGGTTTGAAACTTAGATTTATACGACTGTTGTCAAAGAGTAAACCATATCTTAAAGAAAATAACTAAAATTAAATGACAAAAAGATAAATTGTCAGAACTTGTCAATATGTGGTGAGTTTTTAATTTTGACACGGATTATGGACGGTAAAAGGTGAACACTTTCTAAAATCGGCATATAACGAAAAAATAAAATTTTGAGAACAAGTATTTTTTTTTTAAATGCGCAGCCTAGAGAATCATTTCCGAAGAAACTGAAAATACCATGCGATTCGTCGAAAAACTGTCGTTTGAACAATTTGACCACCATAATGTACATATGTCGGCCGCTGTGGTGTAGTGGTAAGCAGTGCGCGCTTCCACTCCGCTGGACCCGGGTTCAAACCCTGGTCAAAGCAACATCGCAAAAAATATAGAAAAAAGGTTTTTTCTTAACAGAAGTCGTCCGTCGGCAGGCAATGGCAAACCTCCGATTGTATTTCTGCCATGAAAAAAACAGCTTCTCATAAAAATACAATCGCCGTTCGGAGTCGGCGTAAAACTGTAGGTCCCTCCGCTTTGTGTGACAATATCAAGGCGCACGCCACAAGTCGGAGGAGAAGCTCGGCCAAACACTAACATATGTGTAAGCGCCAATCTATTATTATTATTAATGTACATATTTTAAAAGTTCTTATTTTTTTACAACGAGATGTCTAAAAATTTTTCATCCCAAAAAGCGGGAAATTTTGCGTCCCGGAATATGTTGTACCGGGACCGGGACATAGCTCTAAAATTGCTGCTGTGCTGACAGTTTTTCAAACCCTGATTATAAGTTACTTATATTCATAATTTTGCTTTGAATAAAAGTGTACTGAAAAGTACTGATTTTTTTAGCTTGAAAAAGTCTAACGTACTGCTTTCGCGCATTAAAAGTCTGGCAACCCTAACCTGGGCGGTCAACGGAAGATGCTCTCCTGAGCTTTTTTTCACTTATCCACAGTCAATTGGGTAACAAGAGGTATTGTGCTAGTCTGTTTGTTGGAATCATCAAAGATTTCGATATGGTAGATCACCAAGTTTTATTAGACAAATGCATTATGCAGATTCGTAGTTTTGTTTATACAGTAGAATCCAGTTAGAACGATTTCCAAGGCACCGGCTAAAATACATCGTACTAACCGGATGTCGTATAAACAGAACTTCTCTTTTTATTTATTTTTTGTTTTTATAATTCTGCTATAGTACATTTTTGCGCACCTAGCTACTATCAGTAATCACTAACCAACTGCCAAAACATTTGAGCTATCGAGTGCACATTACTTAAGTATTTTTGACGAGCAAAAATGCAAAAGTTTATTTACAGGTCCATTCTGCGCGTTACCGAAGATTTTGTAACCGGAAAATTTTATTACCAAAAAATGTTACCAGTTTTTGTCACCGCGATTCTAGGTACGTTGGTAGCGCAGTTAAAATATTCAGCAATTCAGCTATGAAGAATTGTGGAAATTCTGGCATTGCATATTTCACGGGGCAATACTTTGTTACCAGCTTATGAGATAGTAACAAAATTTACCGGTTACAAGAGTACACAGAATGCGAAAAGGGTTTAATAATTGACAGGAACTTTATTTACCGGTTACAAAATGGTTATTACCAGTGCAGAATAGACCTGTTAAAGTGAATCTAAAATTGACGTCTGTCAAAAAAGTTCGAATGAAAAAGACAAATGTCGCTGTGGACTAGCTGCTATCCAGACCAGGCGCCATATGCGCCTTCGATGTTCAGTCACTTTGTAATAGTAGAGTCCACTCTTTGATGCGAAAATGCGAAAGGCAAAAATTAGCGTTTGTTTTGTTGTTTTGCTGTGCGCAAGGCGCATCAATACAAGGTGGTGTTGATGGATCAGCTGATTGGATATTTTTGTCTCTACACTAGCACAGGAGAATGTCATCCAAGACAAAGTGGCGCAACTTTAGGATGTCAACAAAACGAATTGACGAAAATTATCTCCTATTCCCTTTTGTTTTGACATCCTCCTGTACCAAAAAGCAATAACAAAATACACGGGACTTTTACTTATATGCAATTGCCACCACCTTGTATGGATGCGCCTTTGCTGTGCGTTTGTGCGAAACGATGCCATAACGGTGCCATATGTTTGTTGTAAAATACTGCCGATTTTCGCACTTTCGTTCAAACATACACAGATTCGCATCAAAGACTGAACTCCAGTAATCGTAACAACATGTTGACCGAAGCTTCTAATTTTCTGTGAATTTTTAAAACTTTTATCTCTCACCGGACTGTTTATTCATAAATTACGTCGCTTAAAGCGGTTGGTCGCTTTAAGCGGAGTCGTTTTAAACGGATGTATTTTCATAGTAATTTGTATAAAAACCAAACTTGAGGTTGTGGTTACGCTACAAGCGGTTGGACGTTACATGCGGAGTCGTTATAAACGGATTCTGCTATATATTATTAGTCAATTATATAAGTTTGTGGTAGTTTAAGTTATTCAATGGCATTCAAATTAGGGGCTCCAAAGGATATATTTTATATCCTGTATTGTTTTTAGTTTATTTAAACTCGATTTTATCACTACCTTTCATTACAAAGGTTACCGCTTTCGCAGACGATCTTGCCATTGCCTATGGTTCAACGAATTACAGGCTAACCTAATACTCGCGGCTTGCGTTTTGGTACGCATGCCGTCGAAAAATTGGAAATTGAGTTAGCTTCATACGCACGCCGTTCAATTTCGGTTGGTCCCATACAAGTTGCATGTGGTTAATAAAATTCAGCAGTTTTTAACTATTCAAAAATGTGTCATTAGAAAAATATGTAATGTTGACCGAATTCACAACTCCATGGATCTGTTTAGGAACTTGAGAATTATTCTTCTACTACAAGACTTTAAAGGTCTTGTACTCGTTGTGGTTATTAACATAGCCTACTTCCAGATAAATAATTATAATTTGAGAAAAACGCTGACAAACTTGTTGTTGTTCCTACATCTCGTACTACACACTTCACTAATTTCTTTACTATAGTTTCTTGTAAGCTTTTGAATGCTCTATACTATATCTAAAATGAAAAGATGTAATAGTTTCCCTTAATTTCTATAAGGTGTTAAGCAGTAATCTACCGACTTCTGTACAAAACCGTATTTTGAGAGAAAATGAGATAGGGCCTTTATATATTATACATACGGTGACCATCCGTTCTGTTTTTTGCAGGACCGTACTGTTTTTCAAAGGTCGGTCCTGCATAGTTTTTCAAACCTAAAAAACCTGAAAATGTACTGATTTTTTCCAAGTGTCCTGCATTTGTCCCGCATTTTATTCGTTATTTTAAAATTATCGGACAATGGATGGATGTTTTCAAAAAAGTGTTTTTTGGTAATTTTCGTAGCTTTTTTTCAATATCTCATGAAAAAATTTCCCAATCAACGTAAGCGACTTACAGCTCGAAGGGTATTGATGTGCCTCTTACCAAAATATATAACTTGTGGGGACTTCAATGAAAATTATTAGTGCTACAGGCGACCATTTGCATTTTGTCGTCAAAGTCGAAAAAAGTGAGAGTTTCAATCAAATACGCAGTTTTATTTGATTATTTTTTTCATTAGTTTAAAAATTCGATAAAGAAGATATATCATTACAGTAAATTTTGAGCCAAAGATAATGAAAATCGGATTAGAAATGTAGATGCTATGAAGCGCAATCTGCACAAATTATATATTTGTGTAAAGGGCACATAAATACCTTTGTAACTCGTCGTTTACGTCGATTCATGACGTCGATTTTTGACAAATAACTGCGAAAGGTACCAAAAAACAAAAAAAAAGGATATTATTTTCGTTTTGGACGACTCAAAATTTGCGTATAAAATAACCTTTTAAAGATTTTCTCTTTTCGAGTAAGCTATTGTAATTATAATATGTTTTACTATACTTTTATAAATATTAATGTAAAAAAAGTTTAAATCGATGAAGAAAACGTGATTCGTTTTTAAAGTTTAAAATGTATTAAGAATTTAGAATCATAAATACTCTTTTGATATTTTTATACTACGTAAATATATGAAAAATTGTCCTTCATTTTGAATCCATATTTATGGTCACCGTAATTATACAACACGTAGTACATAAAAAGATATGTACATTCTTCCGAAGAACAAATGCCATCAAAAAGGAAGAAAACCTCTATGAAATGCCCTTTATCAGGCCTATTCTGCGTTGGTAACAAACATTTTGTTACAGGTTAGTAAAGTTACTGTCAATTTTTAAACCGTTTTCGTATTCTCCACACTCTTGTAACCGGTAAATTTTGTTACAATCTCATGAGCAGGTAACAAAATATTGCCCCGTGAAATATGCAACACCAGAATTTCAACAAAACTCCATAGCTGAATTGCTGAATAAATTAAAACGTTACCAAGGTAAATAGAATTGCGGTTGCAAGAAGTGGTGACAATTGTTGGTAACAAAACTAGATTGTTACAAAATGTTCGGTTACAAGCAGAATAGGCCTGTATGTAGAACATTTATTTCATTTTACATAATAAAAACTACACTGTGGAACTTTTTTATAAGTTTTTTAATTTTTAATATTGTTATTGAGCTATGTACCACGATTGTGTTTATTAGGAACAAATGGAAAAAGCAACAAAGTCTAAGCGGTGGAAGTTATAGCAGCTATTTCGGAGATAATCATATCTCCTCATCAGACTTCTTTTTTCTAGACTTCAGCAGAGATCGAACCGGCGTCATCGATGTGCAAAGTCAGGAGCCGTAACCACTGAGCTATGCACGCCCCGTAAACTCTTGTTGCCAATTCATTTCCTTATTTAACCTACTACTATCAAGTGCAGCTGATTTGCCGCTATTTAAATTGGACAGCGTGGGTGTTGTTGTCAATACTATACATGTATTTTACAACGCTTTTATCAACTTGCAATGTTGTATGTCCAGACTACCATACTATATTCTTTATTGTATAGTTTCAAGCAGGCTTTCCTGTGTATTTGTCAATGTTATTGTGGCTTATTAACATTTTATTTTTAATATTGTTATTGAGCTTTGTACCCCGATTGTGTTTATTAGGATAAATGGAACATTTTCAGATTTTTAAAGGGCTCAATCAAATAATGCTTTTGTGTTAGAATTCGAGTGTGATCAAAATTTCCTTCATAATAATTTTGTAGAGCACTTAAACGCCTTTTTTTCTGAAATTAAATGGATCAATTTCAATTTAACGGTCAAAAGCATCTATAATGGTATAAACTAAGGGGCTAAAATATTGCAAGATAAGATTACTCTCTACATTTTACTATAAGTCAAGAATTAAGTATGTTTGAAGTCAATTTGTATGTACATTAGACCGCGTCAAAATAAAAAAAAATCCCGTAATGCGATCGGCATAAGACTAAAATTTTAGCAATTTTAAGAGGTCCCGCGTCGAGCATTTAGTTTTCCCATAGGAATTACAAGTAAGAAAATTAGTTCTTTCCTTTTGAGGTCAATATAATTTTCTAGGGTCAATGAAAACGCTCCACACTATAAGAATACATTTATTACATGCCATTTAAGTATTATGCGTAATTCCAAAAAAGAATTGGGTTATACTACATTTGACCCAAATAGGACATGGGACTAAAAAATTATAACTTAGGAATTTAAATACATAATCTGAGCCTGCACAATACTTAAATTGCATATAATTAATGTATTCTTAAAGTTTCGAGCGTTTTTATTGATCCTAGAAAATTATATTGGCCTCAAAAGAAAAGAGCTTATTTTCTTACGTGTAATTCCTATGGGAGAACTAAATGCTCGATGCGGGACCTCTTACAATTGTCCTATAGAGGGGAGAATTCATAGAGGATCATTTCTATACCAAATGCTAAAATTTTAGTCTTATGCAGGTATTGCGGGATTTTTTTTTTATTTTGACGTGGTCTAATGTACACTCATAAAATTACACGTGTGTGAGGTAATTGAATTTGTACCCATAAAGAGAAAATTTCAACCCACTGTAAAACAAATTTGATGAGTTAGGGGGAGAATGCACTCTAGCGTTCTTCAATAGTGATATGCATAAACATACGAACATAATTTTGTATATATTTATGTAAATATATTTTCGCATTTACACACTTTTCTTTCTCTTCCATTTGATCACACAGCATTATGAAGATATCACATCAACGGCAAATACTAAGCCCGAGCAACCGACATCTACATCCTGTGGGGTGGCACAGGTTGAAGCGGACAGTGCGTCGGCGAATGCGCTGGGGCGTCGGCAGCAACGTTACAAAAATCTAAAGACTCCTCTAAAGCCAAACGCCAATAACAACGTCCAGTGCAATACAACGACGACAACCACACCACACAGCGACTACGATTGCCCTATCGTAGATACCACGGACATAAAAGACGAACCAGGTGATTTCATCGAAACCAATTGCCATTGGCGTGACTGTGGCATTGAGTTCATCACTCAGGAGGAGCTTGTGAAGCACATAAACAACGACCACATACAGACCAATAAGAAGGCGTTTGTCTGTCGATGGGTTGAATGCTCGCGTGGCGAAAAGCCGTTCAAAGCTCAGTACATGCTGGTCGTGCACATGCGACGCCATACAGGTGAAAAGCCTCATAAATGCACGGTAGGTTCAGATACAAAAAATAATGAGTTTAATTTAGGGTGTGTGAGGCCAGCTGCTTCTAGACGAAATAAGGAACAGTTTAGTTTGGCTTTTGGTTCTTCCAAATTTTTTTTTGTGAGGAACCACCGCCTTAGATTTTTTCATGCTATAAAAATCAGTACTTTTCAGTACACTTTCATTCAAAGCAAAATCATGTATATAACAGAAAATACTTTAAAACGCTAGAGTACTTATTTCTAACAATATTTTGGTATGTACAGTGTGTCCAGTATATGTTTTTATTAATCAAAGCCGTAGTTTTTATTAATCAAAGCTGTATTTGGAAAAGTTGAAGCGGTTACCGATTATAACTTGAAGTATAAGGATTTGGTTTAAAAGGCAGTTACTATATTATATGACCTTTGTTTGCCAAAACACGCTTAAGTCTCTTTTCAAAACTATTGCATGCGGCACGCACCACTTCCATCGGTATATTGTCCTATAAGGATGGCTGTTTTAAAATCCACAAAGTTTTTTTAATCCCTAAGTTTCTGCAGAATATAACCCTAAATGCAAAAGTCAAAAGGATTACAGTTAGGTTGGCTTGGGGCCATTCCTCCTTGGGAATAAATGAATTTGTTTAACAATTTCAGAATGTATATATGTTTGCTTTAACGATATAAAGAGATCTAACCCAGTGATCTAACCCATATTTACTATGTCATCGTTTAGGTAATATTTTCATTCGTTATTTAAAATAAAAATTAATCCAGTTTTACTAAGTTGATTTTAATATATTTTATTGACAAGTTTTGTATGAGGATATACTGGAAACACTGTAAAGAAAATTTGTTCATAAAAAATAAAAATTTTATTCATTTTAACATGAGTGTACGCAATAACATGTAGTACAAAATACCGTTTTAAATTGTACACAGGAGCCAATAAATTATTTAATATTTATGGCATTTTTGAATAGCATTAATGAGATAATTTCCCTTTGGGTAACTGACATAACTTCCACGGACACAACTTCTGTGTGCCCGTGGAAGATATTTCAGACTTTACACGAAGATCAGACATAACTTCCATATCATGATCAAGTCATCATCCAATTCGTCCTCAATTTCAATGTCGAATCCGTCTTCTTCGTCGTTTTTAAATGAAGTTTTCTCGATTACATTTTCCAAAAACACTTTCGATAAAAACTGTTCGATATTTATCTGATCCTCTAACAATAACTTGGAGGCTTTGTCGATTCAGAATCCCGCCGAAGATTTTTGTTTTATTTTCTTGACAGGTGGCTGATAACGGTCATTCATAGCTCGCAAAAGTTGGGTAGAAATAGCACCCTCTTCAGAGATTAGAAACTAAAGAAAACGGAAGAAATTCCCATTATTTGGAATGCAGTATTGTTGCTCTATGAAGCCGAAGTGGTAGGGCTTTTTAAACTGAATACGGACAGTTCACTCAGCACAAAAAAATAACCTGATAAGTCATAAGAGTTCCACTCACCAGTTTTAACCAATAGCTGCAAAAATATTCAAAAATTGGCTGCTTAATGTAAAACAATTGAAATTCGTCGCTTGTGCTATCAAAATGTTATATCCGTCCATTATTTATCTCGAGGAAGAAGTGGTAAACACAATAATCTCATGTATGAGGCGATTCACGTCAAAGGTCGCAAGCGCGCTGAGCGGTGCAAAACAAGCTTCTTAGCTGGAAAGCAGACATAAAATAAAAAAATTATTTTGATTTTTGTACGGGCTATCCGATGGTGCTATGCATTTTCCAAAATTTTCCCACCTTCACGGTGAAAATTCGTAATGAAAATTTATTTGTAATTTTTCTCAATTATGATCATTTTTAATTTTGTCATCCCAATGGAAAGATCACGTCTTTTTACATAGAAATCATTAATAAAAAAGGGTTTTTTTTTGAGTTTTCCGAGCTATAAAGCGTTTCATAGCGGGCTATACCAGTCGCGGCGCTCCGTCGCGTCACGTCGGCTCCGTTCACTTGAATGAATTAAAACATCATACTGTGTGAAATTTTTACACAATAAACTGCAAACTATTCCAAATAATTTAAGTTCAAACAAACTTCTTAATACTTATTAAAAACAAAATGCCGGTTTTTAGAACTTTTTTATAAAAATAAAGGGGGTGGTTTTTCAAATTAAAAATGTGTGCTATAAAATTTCAAGTCTAATTTATTTTTAAAGCAGCATTATAGACAAATATCTGAAACAGTTTTTGGGAAACCTTCAGATTTAAATATCAGGTCGTTCAAAAGTTATAACAGTATTAATGTGATGCGCATAGATGTTTGCATTATGATTGCCATAATAACACTGCAAACTATCTATTCTTGCATTTATTTTTATATTGGCCCCTACACCATCACATCCTCCCTTCCTATGATCTGTAGCTTGAAAATTCTACTCCGCAGGAATCCCGAAATCTTCTGCATGACAGAGGAGGTTTATAGAGCTGCTTTTATTTTTGAAGTGCTGACCTGCTCCATCTGAGACGTAGTAAATTTTCTTTGGATTTTCGTAATTAGTTTTTAAGTAACCGCACATTATTTTTTGATACTCATAGACAGCAACAGTATCGCGATCATGGGCGTAGCCAGGTAGAGGCAGGAGGGTGCTCGAGCCCTCCCCCCCCTAACTTTCAAATTTTCCTTATATATATATAAAATAGTACCCTGAAATGCCAGCTTAATAGGATCGAGCAAACCCTCCCCCCCACCCCCACAACCCCCCACTTTTACAAGTTCAGTTTTCAGCGTGCACCTATCAGTTTGAGCCCAATTATCAAATTTAATTTCAGAAATATCACTTTCATCCAGAATGTTATTCAAAAAATTGTGTAATTCCACTATGTTCTCACAAGATTTGCACTCTCCCAAAAAACATGTATCTTTGAAATCATCGCATATAATAGCATTAATGCAATCATGATAATTTTTTAGGATTTGATCTACATATTTAGTTAAGTTTTCTATATCAAGTGCTTTAATCATTAATTTTATCATGAAGGACACAAACGCGGACGGTATGAGATCCGCTCGATCCTGCAAAAATACATTCTGGAGCCTCAGTTGAGTGAACTTTGTAAAAAGTATTTTAATATCTGCATACTCATTTACAAAGCAGTAACCGATTTTAATAGGATTCATTGTCACAATAATTATAGAATTCGTTACGTAATCAAGAGTGTCCAAATGCTCTATGCCACTACCTACAAGTATGAATGTAGATTTAAAATAACAAAACGCAGAGTTTTAGACAAATGAAGAAAAATTTAGAGGGGACTCGGATCGACTAAAGTCTTGAAACCTCATGATTTTTTAATATATTTTTTTTAATTCGTGCAAGCGAACCGAGCTGACTTTCACTTTTTCATTTAAGCTCAATATATCTCACACGTGCGCATCACCTTAATATTGTTATAACTTTTGAACGACTTGATATTTAAATCTGAAGGTTTCCCAAAAACTGTTACAGATATTTGTTTATAATGCTGCATTAAAAAGTTATTAGATTTGAAACTTTATAATACACATTTTTAATTTGAACAAAACACCCCTTTATTTTTATAAAAAAGTGCTAAGTGTTTTTAATAAGTATCTATTAAGAAGTTTTTTTAAACTCAAATTCTTTGGAATAGTTTTTAGTTTATTGCGTAAAAATTTCTCATAGTATGATGTTTTAATTCGCTCAAGCCAACGGAGCCGAGGTGACGCGACGGAACGCCGCGACGGGTATAGCCCACTATAAAACGCTTTATAGCTCGGAAAACTCAAAAAAGTCCCTTTTTGTATTAATGATTTCTATGTAAAAACAAATAAAAAAAGTTAAAAATGACCATAATTGAGAAAAATTACAAATAACTTTTTGTTGCGAGTTTTCACCGTGAAAATGAGAAAATTTTGGTAAACGCATTGCATCATCGGATAGCCCGTATAAAAATCTATATATATCATTGGTTTCGAATTAATTTTCTCATCTTCTGTGTGCTTTCCAACTTTTCGAAAAGAAGCTTCTTTTTCACCGACCAGCGCGCTTGGGACGTTTGACGCGAATCACCTCATATATAGATCGTCTTTTTCGGAACATTGACCATTTTTTCAAAAGGTTTTCAGCGAAACTACCAAATTTTGAGCCGTAATTCTTTGACATTAAAATTTAATATTTTTTAAAAAGTGAAGTTCATCAATCTGTACACTGAACGCCACATTTAATATACAAATATAATGGAACTTACGTATATCTGACATAACTTCCATGAATCAGATCTGTGGTATTAATGTCAGACTTTACTTCCATGGACCAAAAATTGAGCGATGGTAGTAATTTCCAACACTGCCGTTTTGCTAAAATTTAAGCAAAATTTATAAATTTTTTTCATGCCGCACCCAGAAAAAGGTTTAGTTATAATTACCACGATTTGGTTATAGTGACCAAGTGGTATAGTTGGATATGGCGAAATAAATATCTAGTTCACGAAAGTCTGCAATTTACTTGAGACTTCTAGTTGGGACAAATATATATTTGTTAATAATTACAAAACGACTACCTTGAGTGGACAATATTGGTAGTTGAATAAAATCATTGTTGAGCAAATATAAACAATGCTTTGGTTGATGCAAGTTTTCAATTAATTTTGTGAACTTGCCGCAGACTTGAATCAGCTAACCGTTTATTATTGGAAAAAACTTTCAGTTTGACACAAATAAAAATTTACTCGATGGTTGTTGTGTTTACTTTCTTCTTTTATTTGCATATATTAAGTATTAAAAATACTTACATGTTTGCATAAATAGTTACTAGTGTAAATAATACATATGTATATGGTGGTAAGAATTTCGTAAAAAGAAACGATGAAACACGAACAGTCGTGCGAAACCCCAGGTCAATATCTGCTGGAAGTGGTGGTTTAAGTTGACTGCTTTGCTTTTGCCTTGGCTAAATAGACACTTTCAAGTTATAATTCACATGAATTATATATCCAATGAGAAACCCCGGTTGGCATCAAACTCTTTATTTTTAAATAACTATGCGCGCACCGAAACAACTGTCATAGCACACACTTTCCTTTCTCTACCTAGCGCAGGGATCGACATGCCATAGTATGAAGCAAAAATAGAAATCTAATCAGAGAGTTTCTAGTCACATAACTCAATCCTCAGAGGAGGTCGACCCCAGTATTTGCTTGTGTTTTTTTCTTTTGTCGGTTTTATTTGTTTTGCGTGCGCTCATTGCATGAATCGGAAGTGGGCATTTTCGAGTTGCCTGTTTGTTTTTTTGTTGTTGTTTGTATCATGGCTATCAATACCATCACACCAAGTTAAAAGGGACATCGGATCCCTAGGCTAAACCGGTCATCAAAGTGCCTCCAAAGGCAATCGTCACATCAATTCAAATATTGGATGTCATCGCCAACCGGATTCTTCACTCACCAAAATCCGGAAGCTCAAATTTCATGTGATTTGGACGACTGGACGTCGAAGTTCAATATGCCATCATACTTGCCATACTTCGTATCCGATGTGAAATCGTAGAAGAAACGTGTCGTTGTTTTACAAAAACTTTCGTATTCTGTATATGCAAATAAGAATTTGCAATCGCTAAAAGACTCAAGCACAGTCTTCAGAAACTGACAAAGTGCACCTACTCACAAGTACCAAAGGAATTAATAAATACATCCGCACATTAAACAATTTTTTTTTAGATACACACTACCTTTTTTGACTACCCTGGCTTTTCTGGATTGTCCGGCCACCACAGCTGTTTTATAATAAAATAAAAAAAACAAGACATGCCACAGCTAACAAGAATGATATAATACAAGATTGCGCCGATTGCAGCAGAATTCGTGAGAGTAAGTCGTAAAGTTGACAACTGGGAGCGGCAAATAAAACTGCTGTCTAGCGATGTGCTTAATTGTCGGTACCCAATACTTAAAAGAGGTTTCGGTACCCAATACTTCCTTATCGGTACCCGGTACTGATTCTTTGCATTAAATCTGCGCCATTATATGCATTTCAAGTTTAGAAAAAACTTTCATTACTAATTTATATGATATCGGCTAAAACACTTGAACTTATCGCAACAGAGAAATATTATTTAATCAGTTTTAGCCTTAGTCGATCCAAGGTCCAAGAAAAATCCTTTGACGGATAAAGAAGCCTTTCAGGGGGGAGATTCTGTAACCAGTTAGCGACAAGTTTCGGATCGATATCCCACTTGTTGACGTAAAAATATTTCATGTCATACGTCAACAAAACCGATACCGATTCGCTAATTGTCGCTAACTGGTTACAGAATCTGCCCCCAGGCCTACAAAAATGATATCGTCCGATTCAGCTGGAACAAAAATGCTTCAAACAAGTAAGAGTTTCTCTGTATTATGGCCCCGACATATATACATCTTTCATTTGAATCAGTATTAAGCTCTATTGGCTCTTACATTCGGGTTTTGATAGGCCAATCTCCCCTGAACCGTTTTGCCATATTTTTGGCCTATGTGCGCTTTTATTCGAAACCTAAATATTTCGGTACCGAGTATCGAGAGTATTGGATACTTAAAAGTATTGACTCAGCACATCACTACTGTTGTCATCTCGACTGTGACGTCAGCAAAACAGATGATTCTGTCAAATTCACTTAGAGCCGATTAGCGGTGTTGCCATCGCCGCCACCTTCTGTATTCTCTCCACCGTGAATAGCTTACTGAGCGCTCTGTGACCACATGCGTGTTTCACCCACGATTGTGTTTCATCCAGTCTAAAAACGTATTTGAGCAAAAGAGAAGACACGCTCCTGAAGTTCACATTCGCTACAATTATAACGGGTTGTCTCTTCTTATAGATTTACATTCTTTGCCTCAACTAAGATTTGGTAATTATGACTAAACCATGAACCATAGTTAAGTTGAATGGAATTTGTAGAAATATACTTCAAAGAAATATTTATTAGTATTTACCAAACCCTTCAACTAAATTAAGGATTTGGTACAACCTAGATGAATATTAGAAGCTTTAATATATTTAGTTACTAGCAGACCCGGCGAACTTCGTCCCGCCCAAAATTTTTATTCTTTTTTGAAACTTGTTGGGCCAACATTTTCACCAACAATTCAAGTTTGCGATTTTCATTGGCATATTCATCTGCTAAGATTATAAAGTGTTATATCCGTGAACAAGTTCTTGAAATTTTCCAACTGTGCAGCATTTCATAGCACGGTTATTCGCAAAACGAAATAAATTTGAAGAATTTTTTCCTCTTCACGACCTGGCGGCAACAATGGCCCGGTTCTATAGTAAATCTGCCCTAGAAGCTTTACAGTATAGTTGGTGGCGATTTCAAAATAGGTGCGAATCATTGTTCTACAGAAATATAAATACATATACTTATTTCAGACGAAATACATTAAAAGCTGGAACGCATAATAATATTGGGAAATCACATCCATTGGGCCAATCGTAACACAGTAGAGTTCAATGGTGCAACAGGTCGATTTAATCTGACTTTCACGGCACCTTTTCTCACTTGGCTATTTCTAGTAATAACTCGACTCCAGCGCCACTTGGCAGCCCGTTTTTGCAATAGTATTGCTCTTACAATTACCACCACATATTTAAAATATTAGCCAAATCGGATCATAAATAACATTTTTAGTAGGGATGGCAAAGTCGACTTCGACTTTCGACCAAAATCGACTTTTTACTCCTGAAAGTCAAATTTTAGTGATCGACTTTTAGTTTATGGAAGTCGACTGAAGTCGACTTTTCACTTTCGACTCTCGACTTTTTTCGATTTATTTGCATATAAAAACTGATCTTCTAACAAGGGCGCGGAGTGCTCTTTGGTGGTATTTAAAAAAAATTGCCAATAAAACTGAAGTAAAATTTGAAAAGTGTGGTAGAGAAATGAATTTTAATGACAGTACAACAACATTGTCAAATCATTTAAGAGCAGCGCATAAAATTACTATACGAAAACAAATTCCTCAAATTTGTTAATCGTTTGTCTCCCCAACCTCATTGTAAGATAAACATAGGTATTTATTTTAAAAATTTCATGCAAGAAAGTTTTTTTGCATGAGTTTATGTAAGTTTCTACAGACAGTCTTTGGGTCGAATTTGACCAATCCGTAAGGTACAACATTTTAAACACCGCTAAAAACGTTGCTGGTAGGATTCNACCATGAACACTTCCAGAGATACGTAGCATGACAACTTTGGTTTGTATGGCAGGTGCCACGCCCCCTTTTCCAATAGCTCCAAGTTCCAAAACTCTACCATGAACACTTCCAGAGATATGGAGTATGTAAAAATTCGGTTTGTATTTTAGGTGGGCGTGGCATACATACATATACATATAGAATTTTTTTAGCCTAAACCAATCCTTGGGACACGTGCGCCAGGTGTCTGAAAATTAANGTAATTACCAAATATCGATTCAAAAAATTTTTAGAATTTTGTTTTGTGAAAAATTGTTTTTTGTTATTTTTTGGCCTTTTAACAATTATATTCAACAANGGTGTCTGAAAATTAAAAAAAAATGGTTCTGCCGTTCTTCGGCTTTGCGAACACTAAAAAAATGGCTTTCAAAATATATATTAGTATAGATATATTATATATTATTATTATATTTTAGCTGTATCCGTTGTTTCTGATTGTCGCAAAAAAAACTTGGCTAGTGAAAAATTCGCCCCTTGATATGGTTGGAAAAGCTTATCCAGGCAAAAAGCTACCTANAAGAGTCGAACAAAGTCGACTTTTCTTCGTGGATCGGTCGACTTTTAAAGTCGATTGTACAGAGTCGATCGAAAAGTCGAAAGTCGACTTTCTAATGAAGTCGAACAACCCTAATTTTTAGTAATAACTCAACTACAGCGCCAACTGGCGGATTCAATTATGAAACTAAACCATCCAGAGACCCACTCAAACACTTACATTAATTTCGTTTAAATACAATAGCTCCAATTTTTCTCCAAGAGTATGCGATTGATTTCGTATATCTCCATACCAAGTTCTAGAACTCTACCATGAACACTTCCAGAGATACGTAGCATGACAACTTTGGTTTGTATGGC